GATCTTTTTAAATTTCTAATTTTTAATCATATTTTTATCTTAAATTTGTTAAATTAATCAATGCTATTGACTTGATATCTATTATGAAAAAAGAGAAAATTATTTGTTGCATTGGAATTTACAAAAATGTCTATAACTCATGTGAACTCGAAACCATCCAAATTTGAGACGATCCAAACCTAAAATAGTTTGAACATAAGACAATTTAAACTTGAAATGATCCGAATACTGTATGATCATGAGTGACTCATCCAAATCTTATAAGTAAGTTAAGAAAGACCCAACTATCATTGAATAAGTATATTCTTGTCTATTTTGAGTAACTCAACAAGCCAACGATAAAAAGAACTATGATTTTTGTATATGATAATGGAAGGCAGCCGATCCATGTTCTTAACATTACTTAATATAATATATGACAGATTTAAGTATGTGTGTCGATTTACAGGGTTTAAACATACTTATTATTCATGTCTCATCCTACATGCACAAATAGCATTTAAAAATCGCACAAAATGAATCTATCACATGTATACTACTTCAAATGATTATGAACTATTATCTAATATGATTTTCTTGAGTTATAAAACAAATAGTTAGTCATATCCTGGGTAATTGCATTCAAAGGTCTTCATAAAGCCTTGGCCCCAACTTCCATGGTGTTTCTTGGTCCCTTGGTCCTGTTTCTTGGTCCCTTGGTCCTCCATCTTCCAGATGACGTAAAATTTTTTCTTATTCTAATCGTATAAACTCTATAACGTTTACATAATTTATGAGAAACCTCAAATTACATTAGAGAGGAATAAGATGAGAAAAGAATTTTACAACTCTAGGAAAAAAAATAATTAGATATTAATTTTTAAAAATATTTTTAAAAATATTAATTTTAAATGTTTATAATTAGCATAAATTATCTTAAATTGATTACGACATTTCTTATTCTTTTTGTATTAGATATTACGTATTTTTATCTTTATTCTCACACGTTACACTAACATTTTTAACAATATTAGTTTTTAATGTTTATAATCATTATAAATTATTTTAAGTTAATTATGATATTTTTTACCATTATACCTTAGAAATTATGAATTTTTGTCCTTGTTTTCAAATGTTTACGTTAATATTTTTAAAAATATTATTTTTTAACATTTATATTTTATTTAATTGTGTGAAATTATTTTTTTTTTGTGTGTAAGAGTTCTTTGTAGCTAGGGATATAAATTGATTTAAATTTTTTGTAAAAAATAAATATTATATTTTTATATTTTACAATAATATTGTGATAACTATTTATCTCTATTCTTAAACGTATATGTTAAAATTTTAAAAAAGTTAATTTCAATTTTACAATACATCTTGTTTATTTAAGTTAATTTATAATTAGGTTATGCATTTTTTTTTGTAAAAATTAAGCTTTTTGATTGCTAAGAGTGAAGAGCCAAAAATAACTTATGAACTTATTGGTTACAATAAATATAAAATAAATATGAAATAACTAAAACCCCACATTTGTGCATTTAATTCCCCCACTCTACGTATTTACTTGCCCATTTATCCTGCGGTCTGCATTCAGACATATTATGTTCGAAAAACGTTCACCATTACTACACGATTTTGTGGACATTAGGTGTAGTTACAATTTTAGAGTCCTTTTCAAACTCCAACACGCCTAGCTGTCTATCTTCAATGAACCTTCATTCACATTATAATTCAAACCCCACTTTAAGTAGGAGTTTTCTAAAGAGAAAATTGTGAGAAATAACCCTCTTCATAAGCTTAATTAAAAAATGGCCTTTATAATAATTTTAATCGTTTTTACTCAATTTTTGACATAACTTGACAACAATGTCCTTTAAACAATTTCAGACAAAGTAAATGGTCTTGGTTTTCTCTATCCCACCATCTAGAAAGAATTTTAAAATTGTTGTACATCCGGCCATCCAACTCTCTCTCACCATCACCATTTTTGTTTGCCAAATGTTTTTTATTTCTCCATCTAGCTTTTAGTTTACCCTCCTAAAGAGGAAAGATGACATCAAAGTATGCATCTTGGGTTGTTAGGTTTTTTCATTTATATTTATAGAATAAAATCTCAAAGTTGAGGGGTTAAAATTGTTTAAACATGTCTGTAAATTAGAGATCTATATGACCTTGGCAACTTAAACTTGGCTGTTGCAAATAAGCAAATCAATTACTTATTAAGCATTGCGTTACTGGTTTTTAAGCATTAAGTCACTAGTTTCTAGGTATAAGACAAAGAAAGGTTTTTAGACATTGCGAGACCGGTATTTAGGTATTGCATGAATTAGGCATTGTGAGATTAGTTTTTAAGCGTTGTGTGACTATGTTGTAAGCATAACGTGATTGGGTTGTAGGCATTGTGTGACTAGATTGTAGGAATTCTGAGATTGATTTTTAAGCGTTATGTGTTTAGGTTGTAGGCATTGCGAGATTGATTTTTAGACATTACATAATTGGGTTGTAAGGATTGCGAACATGATTTTTAGGTATTGCGTAACTAGTTTGTTAGACATTGCCTGCTTGGTTTGTTAAGCATTGCATTACAAATTGATTGAAGCTTATGATTACACATGTTTTTTTTTCTTTGATAAATTGATTGATTGTTACATTTATTTTCTGTTTAATTTTAGTGGTATGCCAAATTTGAAGCTTATCATTATGTATAGTGGTCATTGGCTTAATGATACTCACAAAGATGGTGAGGCACGAGTGAAGGGATTGGGAGTGATTTGTCAGTTTTGGGCCTGATGAAGCTAATTGAAGATATTGTTAAGGTAAACTCATAGAATCACGAAATTGAGCTACATGCATTGCTCAGTCATACTGCAAGGGTTTCATGCCTAGTTATTAGGGATTATGAAGATTTAGCAAGTATTCTGTGAGATACGAGGGCGGTTGTAGTGTTTGTGACAATTAAGGAAGAAAATGCAAATGTTATGCCATATGATCAAGGTGTCCAACATAGTAAGCACATAAATCAGAATTATATTGTTTTAAACATATCACACCATGCAATCCCTAATGGATAACAATGGCAATCACCATTGACATACGCACATGAGTTTGAGCAATTAGCTACACACATGAGGTGTCTGCAAATATTGTCTGCACAATTTTGATAAGAATGTGCATCGAACAAAATACTTCATTCTTGCCAACAAATGCAACCATTGCCCAAGAATGTAGTGGGTCCATTGCTCTTCGCAAACGACATTGTAATAGTTGTGAGTGATGACGATGCCTCTGATCAAAAGAACGATGACTGTGAAGAGGATGATACTACTGACTAAAATGATAAGATGGATGATGACTATGAAAACAATTAGGTTGGTGGGCATGATGATTGTTTAAAGGAGGACAAAGGTGATGATAATGACATTCTAGATTGCAATCATGCAGATGGCAATATAGAACATGCTACAATTGTTGTGTTAGAAGATGTTAAATGTGATAACCATGCCACAACTGTTGTCTTAGAAGATATTCAGTGTGATGACCCTATTTATGACAACCCCATCGCTAGTGTGATGACCCCATTTATGACAACCCCATCCTAGTAACAACGGGATTTGTTCATTTGATGATAGTGATCAAGAAAGATAAATGCAAAGGTATCCTATCAATGGATTATTCCAATGGTAAATATGATATCTTTCCAAATAGTTGACATCGAGGAGTTTAGATCGAGAAATGACCACTTATATTGTGAAAAAGCATTTCCATCCAAGGCTGAATTAAAATGAGCTTTGAGCATGTTTGCAGTAAAAGAGCATTTTGAGATTAAAGTTAAAAAGTCATGTCACGCTCGTTTTGAGGGTGCTTGTAATGATAAGGCATGCAGGTTTGCTATGCATGCAACAAAGTTGCATGAGGAAGATTATTGGTAAGTTCGCACATTCCATAAGGTACACATGTGTACTGTTGATAGTTTGCAAGGTGGGTACCAAACAAGGAGCATGAGGTTAATTGGTGAGCTTATGTCCCTCAGGCTGCAAGGAAAAAATGTAACATAATTGAGACCTAAGGAAATAGTGAAAAAGATGAATCGCAAGTAAAGGTTGCAATACTTGTATGGTAGGGCTTGGCAGGCAAAGGATTATGTGAATAGTCTTATTTTTGGTCCCCCGGATAAGTCATTCCAACTCTTACCTTCGTATTTCTTTATGTTGGAATGTGAAAATCCTAGTGCAATCACAATTGTGGCTATGGATCAGGAACAACGATTCAAATATTATTTCTAAACATACGAGGCATGAATCCGGGGGTTTAAGGGTGTAATGTGTCCTGTAGTTGGTATCGATGCCACACATTTGAAAGGCTTTATTTGTTGTTGTCTGCAAATATGCGAATGAGCATATATATTTCAAGACACATAAAATTTTAAATTTTAGAACTTATAGTAATATTTGTACGCACTATTATTTTATCAATCTTTATTGGATTTTGAATCATTTAACACATCCATTTTAAGTTCTACCTACAACATATTGAAATTCATTAAATTTTAAATTACATGATTAATTCAATAAAATGTCTTAATCAATTATGCGAAACCAATTGTTGATGTCTCCAAACATCCCTTGTAAGTGGGAAAGATTTTTGTAGAATTAAGGAGATTCCTCAATGATCCTTTCTCTACTCATTTTTCCTTTCTAAAATTTAGTGATTGCTTGGATGCAAGATGATTGAATAAGTGATTTGTCAACCGTCTAAGAGAAAAGAAGGCTTAAGCCTGAATCAAGATTTATTAATGATGAAAATTGCTATGGAACACATATACATTTCATGGACTTATTGTCCGTTTATAAGAGCAATCAACAGTTCCAGAAATGAGAGAAAACACCAGACCCACTTTATTGCTAACTTGTGACGGATGGATGTTTCATTAATGGAGTATTCTCTTGAACTATCATCCACCGAGGTAGAGAGCAGCAGAATCAAAGACACTCCTCCAAATATTTGGTTATCATATTGATTTACTCAGGTTTTCGGCAGGTGATAATAGTGTATCTGAGCAAGCCTTTCCGAAGTCCTTCATCCATCAATGGTATGGCCAGTGCTACTTTTATGGATTTTAGATCTAATCAACTCAAAATAAGATCAAATTAAGAACAAGGCTGCAATTGTGTTAAAGGCTGCAAACAGACTATGAAGAAAAATGGGCCCAATGCATATAATGCAGCATGATATAATCTAATTTCCTGATATGCTTGCCATCAGCTGGATTAAGGGAGTTATTATTGTCAGGAAATGATTCGCTTGATGTAATCATGCAAATGAAACTAAGGCAGAGAAAGGAATATAAAAAAATTACAAGAAGTGCTAGACTTAATTACCACCACATAGAACCTTTATGAGGCCTTTCATGTGAATACTGTTGAGCGCATCACTGCTGCCCAAAATGGGAGAACATGCTCAGACCAATCAGCAGCCTTTATATCCTGCATTCATTCACTCGGTAAACTGAGAGTCAAAGACCTGAATCTTAAAAACATCACATCTGCTTAGGGAAAGTTAACTAACTAGCTTATTTTCCCATAGAATTTTAATTTGAATGGAATGAATGAACGAATTCCAACGCTGTTCAAGGAAGTGAATTACCTGGACAGATAGGGACTCAAGTAGTTTGACATAAACAGCACGGGGACAATAACCAGACGAACAAAATGCATTACGTATCCTGTTTAGCAGCTTTTTCTCCCACGGCTGCAAAGACTCTTCAGAGGGACCAAGATCCCTATGGCAAGTTGTCACTATTACTATTGTGCCTCCTGGAGCTGCAACTCGCACTAACTCACTAACAAACTGCCAGTTTTGGAGGCATACAAGAAATTTAACTTAACTTGCCATAACAAAAAAACATGTGCTAAGAAAATTCCATTCAGCTGGAGGAGTCAAACATTGAGAGGAATTGTAACATATTTAGTTGGGACAAAACAATTAAACCTTAGCTTTGTCAGGCATATGATCTGCGCTTTCCATAGACCAAACTAGATCAAATTGAGCATCAGGGAATGGCTGCTTCGAAGCATCCGCGACTTGGAAAGAAACCTGGTAATACAGCACAGCGTTTATGGTAAGCATTTAGAGATGTTAGAGCCATCTTTCCATCAACGAAACTAAATATGTAGCCAATATCACGTGCACATGGCATGGCAATTACTTTACAAACTGAATAAGTTATATTAATGTTGTCAAAATAAACAATTAATAGTCTCTTTTTGTTTATTCTTTCTGGTGCTATATCTATCTTTTTCGTTCAACTATTTTAGGTGATGGTTTTATGGCATCTCTCCCCTGCAAGAAAAATATTTGTATCTCATCAAATCAAATAAAAAAAAATCAAATCAAATCAAAAAACTAAAATTAAAATATTTCAATAAGCATTAATTTAATAATAAAAAGTCCAGAAACTATCTAAAATTACTTAAAATATAAGAAATTAACTATTTTTAATAATCAAAATATAACAAAATAATTCTATATCATAAAATTATCAAATATCCTCCACATTACTCGTTTTGGATAAACTTATCAACTAACACCCTTCCTTCCTTATCTATTTTCACTCATCATTGTTCTCTGATTTTTCATTGTTTTTTAATGAGTGGCCACATCTGCTAATTAAAATGATTAGGATAATTTGTTGATGAGTAGAACATGATTGCTATTGGGCAAAATATCTCATGTTAATTTTAGCACCAAACTGTAGAATTCACCATTAAAACATTTAAGATTAACAATGACTGAATATCTCATACTCAACCACTATGTGAGTAAAAGAAAAGAATTATTTTTTTCCTTTTTAAAAATTCTACATTATTGAGAAATTGAAAATACATATATAACCCCAATTTCGTTTAATTTTTAAATAATTTAATAATTGAGTTGGTGATGTGATTTGATTGATGACTCCACATTCAAATTGATTTTGTATTAATACTAATAAAAAATGACAATATATATATATATATAAGAAATCTAATTTATTACTATCGTATTAATTAAAGAATACTTTTTAGTTGAGGTTAGTTTTTCAATTTTGGGGATTTATCTCTTTCTTACGCTTATTCTAGTCTAACAAAATAAGAACTTTACTAATTAATAAAAATTACTTCTAAAAAGATAATATATGCTTTAGTTGAAGTTTAATCAAAAGCAAAGTATAATATAATTTTCACAAAAATTTCATATCCCTTATGTAGCATCTTATATATATATATATATATATATATATATATATATATCATATTGATATAAACTAGCTTACTTGATTTTAGTTGAGGTTAGGTCAGGATGTTATAATCAATATTAAAATACAATTTTCTTTGAAAAGAATATTAAATGCAATTAATTAAAGCTAGAATATCTTCAAAAATTTTGTGTGATATGCATGTTGGAATTAATCTAAAATTTCACATTTCTCGTGGTGTTTTATTAATGATTGTTTTAAGCTTATGTACTTGCTAAGACATTATTTATAACAATATTCATTCATTAAATACAATGGTTACTGGTAATTTGATAATTTTTAATGCATTGGGTGAAGAATTACAGAAACATTTTTTTAGATAGTAATCTTAACAAGTACTTTTCAAGTATTCTTTAGCATAAACTTTTTTCATAAATTGATGCTTAAGATATTTAATGTGCTATCAATGTATATAAATATAATACTTGAAAAAATTCTTAAATTATTTAAGAAAAATTAAAATAAGTTATTATTTTTCAATTATGTTTAATTAAATCATTATATTTTTATTTTGAACCAAATAAATTTTATTATTAACAATTCACTTATTTTTATTAATTAAAATATTATTTATTATTTTATATACACGTGGTACTCATATCCTACCCATTTTATCACCCTAAGTGTCCTAGATGGATAATAGGTGAGTTGGCTTGAGGACATCTTAGATTTCCTGCCTAGACAACAAGCAGTGGCACGTAAGATATACAGGATGCGTGGGGTACCGCATTCATGGCCCGTAGAGTTGGCATACAGGCGCACGGGCAGCATTAGCAAGCAGCAGCACGCACGACACTCATGGCCAGGGCGGAGCGCCCTTTAGATGGAGGTCAAAGTTTTTGAAATTTTTATATATTATATATTTTTAATAATTGTTAAAAATAATTTTTATTAAATAATTAATATAATTAAAAAATAATAAAATAACTTTATAAACCTCATTAAATTTTATTCAAATTCTTAATTTTTTTTTAATTTTTTAAATTTCTCCATCCATATTTCTCTCTTTTCTTTTCTATTCTTCTATTGTGAAATTATAAAGAGATAAAATTTTTATTGAATTAATTAATTTATTTATATTATTATTATTTATTTTTTTCAACTCTATTCTATTTGCTTATATATTTAGTTTATAGATTTTCTTTTTTAAAATTTCTAAAATCATCTACCATATTCTTTTTTTTTGTTATATAAGTTATATCTTCTGCTTGTCATGATTTTTTATTTTTGTTATATGTAATTTTATTTTTAATGATTTTAATTTTTAAAAATTAAAAAATTATTGTATATGTAATTCTCAAATATAAGTTCTAGTGTTGCATTATTGGTTATTGTTTAAAATTTAAGTAATATATTATTTTTATTAATCTTAATTATATAAGAAAAAATTATTTTGAGTGTATAGTTTTAATGTGTTTACGTTTTATGTTTGTTGAATGGAATTAATTAAGTATAAGAAGAAATTATTAATTATATATATCTATTTAACTATTTATATTAATGCATTATAGTTTAATATTTAGTATTAAACTTAAATATAATAAAATAAAAATATTGATGTTTACTTACTTTAATTTTAGTCGTTTATATTGAGAAAGGTAAAACTTTGAAACAAAATGGATAATAAGTTTCTTACAAATTATTTGGTTGTTTATATTAAAAAGACTATTACCATTGTCGAATAAAATTTTCTTAGAGTACTATTATAAGTTTTTTTTTTATTTTTTTTATTTACATGTTATAAAATTATTATCTATTTTAAATCTTTTGATTATTAATGGTTAAGTTTAATATATTAATTTTAAAAATTTTTAATTTTTATTTTTCTTAGCTTTTGACCCTCCAATAAAAATTGGCTAGCTCCGTCCCTGCTCAAGGCATGCAACCAAACTAACTCGACAAGTGAGCTAACTGTTGCTAGACCCTTTGGCAACGACTCAAAGGTGCATTAAAGTGTTGGAAACGAGCCCCAATGGCCCCTAGCCATGGGGAAATCCCTTGTAACGGCTAGTAGAGGTTTCTTGGCTATAAAAACCCTTTAGGACCCTAATTGTGTACCTTATGATGCTTATACATGAATTTATCTTAATGAAAGCTCTCTTACAGTTTTGTGTTCACATTCTCTCTTGATTGCAATACTCTCTTTTTGGTTGTGAGCCGATCACCCTTAGGTGCACGTGAGTGATCTATTCTTAACAAGTAGGAGGGTCAAGGTTGACTTAGCCACTGAAGCAAACTTATGAAGGCATACAAAACCTCCTGACACTGATATGGTCTTGACGTGAAAAATAAAATTGATACATGACCATATCAGCATGTCACATCTTCATCATTTATTATAAAATGTTAACATGTCACGTTAACGTCATATGGTATAAAATGATAAGTAATATTTAAATTAATAATAATTAATCAACTATTAGTTATAATAGTTTATACATATTTAGAGTATTCTTTAGCATAAACTTTTTTCATATATATATATATATTTATAAGCCTTTTAATATTTCATTGAATAAAAGTTTGGGGTAATGTTAATTGTAACTCACCAAATAGAGTACAAAAAAATTTTCTGGACATAAGTTTTATAGAACTTGGTAACCATGTACAGGGCACATCAGAAAGTAATGCTAAGCAAAAACAATGTCCTTAGGAGTAAAACTCCCACTACTTGTCAAAGCTCCCTAGTTTAAAACCATCTTCTTATTTACTATCAAGGTTTCATTGGTAAATATCTCCCAAACAGACCCAATAAACATCTTTCAATCCTAAACAATCAACCCACAGAGATTCATTTAGAGAAGACAAGAATAATGTCTCAAATCTAAGCCACCAACATTTCCTCCCTTGTTATCCTTGTCTTTGCTAAATGATCCGCACCTTTACTATCCTTGTCTTTAGGTCAAGCTATGCCTAGAAAGTCTGCAAATAAACATGCAAAATGAAAACACCAAATAAGAATAGCATAAAATAAAATGCAGCAAGTATCACCACCAGGCAAAGAAGAAAGATGATTTCTCAACACTGTACCTCGGCAACGAATCAGCAAAAGAATTACCTTGTTTAAACATATGGTGGAAAGAGATTGTAAGGGAGAGATGAAGAGAGTTAATCTCATTGAAAATGTCATTTTTTCCATGGCCGTAGGTCATTTTTCTCAACCCAAGCAAGTGCAACCTTAGAGTCAAATTCAATAGAAAGTGGAACACTTGTGAAGGGAGAAGTAGCAAAACCACGCAATGCTTAAAGAATGGCCATAATCTGTGAAGAGTTCCATGGCTTTTACCACCAACACATGATGTCAATGTCATCGAGACCCTCACAAGCATGAATCCAAAACATTGCATGCATCTTGATAAGGAAAAAAATTTCATCCCCGTCCCGCGCTTTGTTATCAAACACCGTTTCATTTCTCGCTAACTAGGAAGACCAAAGACTAGCTCCACAAACCATCATCCATCGTTTATAAATAGTACCAAAAAAAGGGCCTTCAGACCATGATTGAATACAAAAAGCAACGAAATCCAGTTGACTCCACCTAAAACCCCATCATTTAAGAACAAGACCCCACACATACCAACTTAAGTTACATGTAAGTAAGATATGAGAGCTTGTTTCTTCAACAAGACTAGACCAAAGGCATCGAAGTTGTTTAAGGATGAACTGAACACCCCTTAATGGAAGGAAATGTTTCGTGGGAATAGAGTCGTTAATTGTGAGCCAAAGAAAGCATTGCAGCATGGTGGAGCAGAAATTTGCTAAATGGAATAAAACCAAACCTTGCGATTGAGCCATAGGATTCCATTTCCCAAGAATATAAGTTATGTTGAAAACTAATAGACCAAGACCCATTATTCCAAGCTTCAAAAACTTTCAATTCCTTCAAATTGGCCAAACAGAAAAGGCCTGGAAATTTTGAGCTAAAAGGAACATCATCAATCCATTTATCAAGCCAAAAGAATATAGTGGCACCATCACCCACTATCCAACGGCATGCTTTATCTCCCACAAGATTTTGAACTCCTTCATTTGAGGGAAGATTGACAATAGATCTCCTAACAGTAGACATTCTCCCCGTATTTGATATGTAAGGTAACCAATGAGAATGACCATCACTATATTTTGTCCAAATTCATCCGCCTCCATAGTGCTTTATCATCATTAGCATACCGCACCACCATTTGGCGAGAAGGGCCAAATTCTTGTACTTTAGGCTTGAGATCCCCAAACCGCGAACCTTTTTTGTTTACATATCATGCTCCATTTAGCCCTTACTATCTTCTTTTTAACAATTGCGCCACCCTATAAAAAAATTCTCCTCAATTGCTCAAGTTTACAGACGACCCCATTAGGAGCCTTAAAATGGAAAAAATAGAAAGTAGTGAATTGAGCATTGAATTAATGAGAGTGATCCTACCCCCAATAGATAAGTATTTTTTTTTTCTCAGCCAAAAGAGAAAGGATATATTAATGGTAAAAAAGTATGTACAAAAATATGAACAATGGTACCACTCAAAGCAGTGAGCAGTGATGCCACTCAAAGCAGCAGCACAACAAAAGGCTGAAACAAAATGGTTGGAAAATAGATATAAAATATTAAGCAAGGAAGGTTGAGAACATGGAATACAGAGTCAGGCCTGATCCCACAACATAAGATCACAATAGATAAGTAATTGCGTTGCCAAAGGGCCAACCATTTCTTGAAATTATTAATAAATGAATACCAAGTACTGACATGTCAAGGGTTTGCACCAAAAAGAATATTCAGATAAGAAGAAGGAAGAGAGCCCATGTCTCAATATAGAATATCCGAGATATGCTTACCAATGTCTTCAAAAATCCCCATACGATAAACATAGGATTTATGGAAATTGATATGGAGACCTGAAGCCAACTCAAAACCATGCAATAATCTTCATACATTGAGGGCACCTATATATATATATATATATTAATTTTTACTTTTGGGATTAAGGATAATGGTTCATAAAAGGTGAAAAATAAAAATAAATTAAACATATAAAAAACATCCATCACATCCACATTGCTTAATTTAGAATTTCTAAATCAATAAATAAAATTTGTCACATTATCTAAAAGAATAATTTACATCCAATCAAGGGCTGCAAGTTAATCAGCCACATATTCTACATGTACGCAAAAGAAGAAGGGCAAATAACTCTTCCCCTGTTCATATCCATGATTACAAGCAACTATTTGGTCGAACTAAATCAAATGCCTTCCCGACCACATTGCTACAGGATGATTGGGCAGCTTTCTCCAAGTATGTTAAATTGACGTTTTGCAAACGTATTCCAGTGCATGGTTGCTTGGCACTACAATCAAATTTTATGGCTATTGGTGTCGATGATGTCCCTCGAATATTTTTGTATAAGATGTCTCTAATTTTTATTCCGGATACCTATAATAATTGAAGGAAAAGAGATAAGGAATTGAAAGAACAAACAATTATACCTCGTTAGAGTTTTTAAATTGACATTAATGCATATCGTCTAAGTATATAAAATAAAAGACTTTGTTTTATTCGAGAAAAAGCATGTTCAAATTAAACTCTTTAAGAGTAAAGATATATACACTTATTATTGAATCAAATATTTAAATATAAATTAATGATATTTTTAAATGTGGATGGTCCAACTATTTTAACGTCAACAACGTTGGAATTAATATTAAAAATTTGAAACAAGTTATGAGAGTTTGGTTATACCTGACCAGGGCAATTTAGGTTGTGAGGGCAATAATTCTGGTCAATTACAATGGGGTTTTGCACATTTCTCATCACAGAGTTTATAAATCGAACCCCTTGGACAAATCCATTACTAGGTCTAGCCCATGACTTGATCCTCAACCCATTTTGGGTGCCAGAGAAAATGGTCTTTCTCACTGTAATATTTTGGACCCCTTCCTCTTTCAAATCCCTAGCCAAACTTCCAATGCTGCGAGGTGTAAATTAACCAACACTAATCAATATCAATATAAAACCATGGTTTCAAAGATAAGAAGAGTAAGTGAAAAAAAAAAAGCTTATATGCATTGCTTCATTTTTAGTAAAAGTATAGATGACATTTAATATATCATACCTAATGCCATGGCCAGGGCCACAAGTGACTCGTTCGATCCATAAACTTTTGGTGCCGGGGCCAATTGAGATGCAGTCATCTCCGGTTTTAATGGAGCAGTTTATGATTTCTACATTTGTGGATAATTGGACATGGATACCATCAGTGTTGGGGCTATTACCAGCAGCTATGATCTTAACCTCTTGGATGTGCACATTTTGACAGCCATTGATCACAATGTGAAACATTTGGCTATTCAATGACGTTAATCCATTGATCCTAATGTTGTTGGAGTTGGTAAAACTCAACGTCTGACACTCACACAATAAAAATTTCCATGTCAACTTACAAAACATCTTTAATTATGAGATATCCTAATAATTGCATTAATCTTCTATCCAAATTATAGATTTCAAAATGTAAATTTGATTATAATTGCAGTATCAAGTATGTAACTAAATCTAAAGAAAGGAGTTTAATAAGAAAAATGAATGGAAAAAAGCACCGTGGCTCCGGAAGGACAATTGGTATGGGAAGCTTTGCAAGCCCAGAGAGCAGGTCCTTTGGCATCAAGTGCACCACCAATGATAGAAACACCGCTGACTCCTTCAAAGCTAAGCCAATTGGCTGATTTTCCAAGTACACTATAATCTCCAGGAGCCACAAGGGTGCCGTCTATTCTTATGGTGATTTGAGGGCTTTTGCAGTCACCTTCAAAAGCCATAGAACCAAGCAAATACCGCCCTTTTGGTACGTATATCATGGTTGAGTCTGCTGAGCCACAGGCTGCATTCCATGCCTCGAGGAAAGCCTTGGTCGAGTCTGTTTTGCCATTTGGTTTTGCCCCAAAGGCTAACACATTAATCTTTGTCGCCGCAGCAGATGCTGAATTTATGCCTAACATAACAAAGAGAATCAGAATGATTCCTTGAAAAGGACTAGAAAGCTTCATTATGTTCGACATTTTTATTTTCTTGCTCTGCTAAGAAGGTGAGCAAGAAGCAATGGGGGAAATTAGAGAAAAATTGAATGAAATTGGAAGCTGAAGTGTTAAGCTGATTGATGAAGGAGAAGTGTAAGAAGACTGGATATTTATACATGTCCATTTTGAGGAAGAACAGGACATGCTATGGTTTCGGATAAAGACTTGAAAAGAGTATTATTGTCAAGTTGTTGGATTGAAGAAAGCTGCAATGCCTGAAACCAAAGCCTCCCTTCTCTGTGTGTATAGGAAATACAGTGTACGCTGCACCAGATTACTTCGCTCCGAATTCATTAAATACATGCTAACTCATTTGTGTTGAATGCAAGCACATATTTCTGGTGCTTACTTCTACATGAGACAATTTAGTATATATTTTATTGTAGAGATGCTTCACCCAACTGCAGCAGCCATGGAAATGATTGCATACAAATTAAACAAACTAGTTTTATAACAATTAAAATCACCTTGGGATAGGATGTCAACATGGATATGTCATTTTTTTTTATAATTTCTTAATTTTGAGATCCAAATGTCAAATCCTTATGAATAATAGTAATATATTTAAGAAGTGTGAAATTCAGATGCCTTTGGATAAATTGTAACATAAGTTTAGTGTACTATTTGAACTGAATTTTTACCTGAACTCAAAGCACTAAGTATATAACTCCTAATTCTTTTGTAATTCAATACTAACAAATTGCTTTTACCACAACATTGAGTAGAAATGTTGCAGTATCCCGAAATATACATAAACTAGTTTTACAATTGTAGCAGGATGGTGAAAATCCGCAGTATGGAAGTGAAAACTATTAGAAGGGTTTTACAGTACTCTTTCGCAGTGAAACACTCATGATGAATCAATTATCACTGCTATAACAGAAAGGAAAAGCCTAAATTTCAGGCAGTAAATGAAAGTTGTGAAATAACTGTACCCACAAGAATGATGCATTACCCAATAACAAAATGATTGCTTCAAATCTTTCATCATATGAGTGTGTGATAACATATATATCAAAAGGGCATAAAGAAAACTACTGCCAATAATAACATTCATATTTTTTCTCTATTTTTTTCTTCACTAACAAATGTTACGAAAATCGTCCCCGAGCAGCTCCCATCGGTGAATAAAATTTGAGAATCCATTTTAGTTGTTTTGAGTATGAATTTTGAGATAAATACAAGTAAAATTTATGAGATGAGAGGAGATTATCTTTTGACGTATAATTCAAAATCTTTATGTATGCAAAAAAATTATCAAAATTTACAGTAGCAATTCCAGGGTGATCATCAGTTTTAGTCACCAACAGTTAACTTTTCTACCTTCTTTTCATTCTTTACTTAATTAAAGACTTAATAATTACCCAATTACAAATAAAATGTTGATTACTATAAATCAAAAAAGGCAGTTTAATTATTTAATTGGTATCACTCATCCATTATATAAGAAACTATTGTGATTGAGCTAAGGAGAATAAAGGCAGGCAGTTAACTTGATGTTGAATCAATGTAATTATGTGTAAAGCCTCTTTTGCATCAATATGCATGCTAACTTTGTACTCTAATATACTTTAATGTCGGCAGCTTAGAAATTTGCCTTCATTATCGCGGATTCAATTATTTTACTAGCTCCCCACCATTTTCCTTTATCATTTTCTCTTGGAATAATTTTGTACCCAAGTCTTTATTTTCCAATGAAATTGATATATAATTAACAAGTGAAATTAAGAAGAAACAAAGCTTTCGTACAGGATATAGGAATGAACCATTTGATATACATTTCCTCCGAGCCTTGTGAAATCTCAAAATTCTTCCAAAAGTTTAGTGGAAATTTTCTCAAGTGTAATTTCGACAATCCAGTACTAGGGGAGTTAGGTCTCTCGAGTTGTTATGGAGTGTTGAGAAATTTTAAAAGTAATAGTTTTAGAGATATTTTGTGAATCATCGCGGTTTTGGAAAAAGATGGTTAATTATTGAATTAGACACTTTAATTGTTGTCCTTTGAGTCTTAAACCCTTGTAAAAGATCTTACAAACTATGGAAGCTTTTTTAACAAATTGATGTTCTATGGGAGGTCATTGGTTGTGTTTTCTTTTAGAATAATATTTAGAAAAGTTTGGGTATAGTTTTATGTTGCTTAGGTGCTATGTATGGTTACTTAGCACTATAGCATTGTAGCAATTAAATATTTTAAGAACACTTGTTAACAGCTTAGACAAAATAATAATATAAAGCCACACTTATTAACATTTTTATCGAAGAAAAGAACAAGCCTAGCTAGACGTGCATTAAAATTATCCATGGCACCAATTAAGTCCATGACCCCAAAAAGTGCCATGCGGCGGATCATTGGTCAACAATAGTGCTAGAGTCTTGACTCTAAAGGTGAATGGCTCAATGATTACTCAAATTTCTTCAGGTTTTCCAACTTTTCAAGGTCAACAATTTGTTTAATCATTATTCACAAACAAGTAAAATGCAAATTACTTAAAGTGATCAGTCTCTTTGGTGGATTATTTCTGAGATAACTGTAACGTATTAAGCCCTCTAACCGTACTGCTCCATGTACTTGGTTAATGAACCTGCAAAAATTATGGTAATCCGATCACCTTCTTTAAGAACATAGCTTGAAGCAAAATTAAGTGATAGTCCATAAACCTAATTCAACTTACCCATTTCGACGGCTTGCATGCATTGAGACAATAGAATATAAGAGAAAGTAAGTTTGTTTAGTTTTTTTAAAAAAAATTTCTTATAATAAGCATGTTACTCTAAGTTAATCCAACACATTCCACGTAAAAGATCCAAATCCTAAAGATATGACAGGTGGCATTTGCTTGACTGTCAAAATTAATAGACAAGCACAACAGAACCCCAATGTAAGATACAAGCAATGGACCCTGATATGTGACAACCTTATTTTCTCTGTCTATCTTTCTCTCATAGTTTATGTTCCGAAATCATCTGGTGCCCTCACTGTTCTGGCCTTTGCATTAGCCCCTAAATTGCTCGACTCAACATATCCGTCGGAAGACATAAAAGTTACGAAGAGTTTCGAAGAAGCTAGCATCATTTATATATGCTGGACAAAGTTGTAATTACATAAATAAAATGAAGGACAAAAGAGTAATTATATATTCAGTAACTATGGTAAAAATAAAATAACTAAGGTAGTTAGCTGAGTAAATAAGATAATAATATATTCATCACTCTTGCTCAAGATGAGTTATGAATGTTGATAGTACTCATTTTGCATAGAAGTGAATGGAAAGGTCCTACTTGTAGCGCCTTTGTGAATAAATCAACATGTTGTAGCTTGGTGGAAAACATAACACGGATTGATGAGACCTTCTAGAACCATTTCCCTAATAAAATGGTAGTCCATCTCTATACGTTTGGTGCGCTCGTGAAATATGAGATTTTTACAAATGTCTAACACGAATTGATTATCATAAAACAGCTTTACTGCATTTGGATGCTCCACATTAAAATCCTTAAGCAAGTATAGCAACCACATTATTTCACAACAAGTTGCCACCATTGATCTATACATAGCCTTGGTAATTTTTTGCTACAACACTTTGTTTAAAGATTTCCTAGGCAGTAAATCATAGCCCATCACTGATCTTCTAGAATCGGGACAACCAGCTCAATCACTATCATTGTAGGCCTAACATTAGATGAAAATGAAATTAATTCCTTGACCAAAAGCAGCCTTAAGATACCTCAAAATACAAAATCCATCTTGTAAATGACTATCACTAGGCTTATCCATATATTGAGATAATAAATGCATTGCATAAAAGATACCAGGCCTTGTGAAAGTGTGATATAATGACTTCTCAACATGTTGTCTATACACCATACTATCTTGTAACTAATCTATCTTTGTTGCCGTGGATACTTTATGATGATAGTCAATTGGTGTAGAGATGGGTTAGCACCCAAAAGACCATATTCCTACAAAAGATCCAAAATATACTTTCTTTTGACAAAGAAAAATCCCCTTATTAGATTTGGCTGCCTCTAAACTAAGGAAATTTTTAAGTTTCCCTAAGTCTTTAAGTTTAAAAGTGGAACTTAGGTAAACCTCAACCTCATTGCTAAGCTCCAAAGAAGTATTATCAATCACAATATCATCAACATATACTAATAAAGCAATAAATCCTCCATTTGTAGTATTCTTAGTAAATAACAAATAATCAGCTTTTGATTGCTTAAAACCATAAGCTAACAAACAATTTGTAAACTTTAAAATTGCCATGAAGCTTTCTTAAGGCCGTACAAAGATTTTTGCAAGTTACATACCATTTTAGCATTGGTAGGACACTTCTCCTTAATAGGATAACCCTGTGGCAACTCCATAAAAACAGTTTCATCTAAATCATCATTCAAGAGCTGAGTAAAAAATAATAATAAATCATCATTCAAGAATGCATTGTTGATATCAAGTTGGGTGAGAAACCAACCTTTGACTGTTGCTAAAGCCAAGAAAAGTGTGATAGTGGTGTATTTAGCCACTGGACTAAACATTTCTTGATAATCAAAACCACTATAGTGATTGTAACATTTAGCCACCAATCAAGCTTTATAACGTTTAACATTACTATCAGCATAATTGCTTAACTTTGTAGACCCATTTACATCTAATTGCGTGACAATTATTGGGTAAAGGCATCAATGTCCAAGTCCCATTTGCTTTCAACGCATCCAACTCACATTTCATATCCTCTCCATAAAGCATGCTTTTATAGCTTAATGGTAATATACAAGTTTAGGTATATGAGATAAAGAAGGTGTAAAAACTTTATGATTATTGGGAAGTTGATCATTAGATAGATATTTAGTAATAGGATGTTGAGTAACAAAATTGGTTTGAAAAAGAAAGGTATAGTGATAGGCTTCAAGGTGTTTAGGTGGGTGTCTCTAGCTAGTACTTGTCTTAGGTTATAAGGTAGAAGGTTTAGAAATGGAAATGTCATCCCAGATTATCAAGATCAACATCGTTTGGTTGTTTATTGATGAGACACAGGAATTTATGAGTTTGATCCTTAAAAAGACTAAGTTGAGACATTAGATTGTTGATAACTTCTTCACCAACATCATCAAATTGAGCTATAAAGACTACATTGTTAGCAAAATGAGAAAATCCTTTCCTAGCATTAAACTTGTTCTTAGTAAACTTGTAGTCTATTGGAAAGCCAATTAAGCGATAGCACTTCTCTTTCAAGTGCCCTTTTCTTTCAACATTGAGCACACACAACATCTACCTTACTTTTAGACTTTCCCTCAGTGACAACAAACATGGTAGAGGATTTAGTAAGAGGATGTAACTTGACATGAAAATTTCTTTGATTTTCTTCCTAAAAACAAGATTATAAATGTCATCCAATGATGGAAAAGGCTTCACCGTGATATGTGTCCTCAAAGCAAAGAAACTATCATTTAATCCATTAAGAAATTCACCTAAAAACATTATCTTTAGCATTCTAATCAACAAAGGTTTCAAAACCACTATAGGTACATTTTGGCATAGGTCTAAAATTTTTAAATTCTTCCCAAACAAAGTTCAACTTAGTAAAATATAGGCCTATAGATCTGTTACCTTGAGTAATTCCATTTAAAGTGTGCTGGAAATTGCAGATTCGCACATCACTAGGTAGTGAGAACCTCTATTTAAAAGTGTCTTAGATCTGAGCCATTTTGTCCTTGTAAAACATATTAGAAGCAATTGGTTGTGTCAAGGACTCTAAAAGCCATGGCATAATTAGATTATTACATTTCGTCCATGGCATGTAAAGCTTGTTAGTTTCAGCTAGTTGTGAAATCGATCCAATGATAAACCCTAGCTTGTTCTAAATGGACAAAGAAAAGGTAAAAGACCTACTTTAAACCAAGTAATTTGTAAAGGTGAACTTTAGTGTATCAGAAACCAAACCATAGTGGTCCAAGTGATGAAAGAAAAAAGGGCAATTGTGGATCTTTAATTGACAAGGTCATGAACTTAGAAGAAACCAAATCATACATTGAAACCACCAACAAATGAAATCTTAAGATGGAATGGGTACAGTGGGTATAATGAGTATGATGGGTACGATGAGTATAGTAGTCAAGCAGCTACGTATGGTGGTCAAGTGGGATGGAATGGAGGTAAAAGAGTAAACAATAAGGCAAGGAGGAATGTAGGGAACGGCCAAGGTGGTGTAGTGACGGTGTTTACGAATAACTTACCACTACAAGTAGATTGGAGAAAAGTAAAGGCAGTGTGTCAACGATCTGGGGGAGATTATGGATGCGTTTCTCCTTATCAAGAAAAGCATGAAAAGATGGAAGATGGGGCTCGTACATTTCAGAACAATAAAAACAACCAACAATGCAATCAAGAAGCTAAATGGTTCATGGTTGTTGGAGGAATAGTGTTGTGAAAGAACATAAGGAGGAAGAGGAAAGAGGAAGAAATGATGCTTAGGTGGGAGAGAGGGCAATTGAAAAGAATAGGTCATATGCGATGGTAGTACTAGGTGGTGGAAAACCAGAAGAATTACAGATGAAGGAAGAACAAATAGAAAAGGGAAAAATGTAAAAGTGTGAAGGGTTTGTTGATAAAGAGAGACTACAATGGCTGAGACAAAGTGTAATGGGGACATGTAGAAGTCAATCAGAACCTGAAACGATAGCTAATCACATGAGAATGGATGGGCTTAGGGCATTGATGTAAGAAGATGAAATGGCAAGTAGTTCATTATATCATTCCGTAACAGGGGCTTTTTTGAAGCCATGCAAGACTTAAGATGGACGCAGCTTGGGGAATGGTTTGACGACATTATAGAATGGTCGGAAGAAGTGACAGTAGAAAGTAAAAGGATTTGGGTTACTTGTCATGGGGTGCCGTTGCATGCATGGAATGTCTTCACATTCAAGAGTCTAGCAAACACAATAGGGGATTTTATCTGTATGGATGGGGAAACTTTGAAGTTGCAATCCTTTGGCAAAGAGTGATGTAGGTAATAACAACAAAACCTAGTAGATTAGATGAAGTTGCAAGATTAAAGGTGGGAAAGAAAGAGTTTTAAGGTGAAAATGGTAGAGATAGAGGACAATAATGTGCATTTTTATCAATGCTATTACAAATCACCATATTTGAACCTAACAAAATCAAAAAATTATGGAGGAAACTCAGATTTCTACTAGCTCATCACAAAACTCTAGTAAAACAAGGTGGTCCGGTAAGAAGAGAAAGGCCTGTAACTATGAATTGACGTAAGAAATTAACAATGAGGGAAATTAGAAAAAAATTGAATGAAATTGGAAGCTCAAGTGCTAAGCTGATTGATGAAGAAGAAGTGTAAGAGAGAATTGGATATTTATACATGTCCATGTTGAGGAAGAACAGGAACTGTTATGGTTTCGGATAAAGACTTGCAAAGAGTATTATTGTCAACTTGTAGGATTGAAGAAAGCTGCAGTCCCGAAACCCAATATAGGCAATTCAGTGTACACTGCACCAGATTACTTTGCTCCCAATTCACCGGTAAATTAAACACATGCTAACCCATTTGGGTTGAATGCAAGCACATATCTCAGGTCCTTACTTGTACATGAGACAATTCAATATATGTTTTATTGTAGAAATGGTTCATCCAACTGCAGCAGTCACTTATCCATTACATAAAAAGTGCTGGGAATAATATAATGAGATGAAAGGCAGGCTGTTAACTTGATGTTGAATCAATATAATCATGTGTAAAGCCTCTAATGAAGGTGCATGGTTGAATGATTACTCAAAAGTTTCTTCAGGTTTTCCAACTTTTCAAGGTCAACAATTTGTTTAATCGTTATTCACAAGCAAATGTAAAATGCAATTTACTCAAAAGTGATCATCACTCTTTTTGATGGATTATTTTTGAGATAACAATAATCTATTAAGAAACGCACCTGAACATTTGGCTCATTAGTCAGTGCATTATCCTCCTACTTAAAAAATGGGATTCGAATCCTCCCTCCCTTAATTATATAAAAAAAAAATCTATTAAGAAACCCTAAAGGAAAACTTACATACATTTAGTAAGCAAAATACTATACTTTTTATTCGATATATGTATATGCTGAAATATTATATATTGTTATCTTAATTCGGTTTTTTATTTAAGTTTTATTTAAAAAATTTTGAATGTCAAATTGAAATCAAATTAATTATTATTTAATTTGGTTTTCAAATTAAATAAAAAATATTTAAATATAATATTTTAAAATATTTTTAAACTATTTAAAAAAATTCAAATAAACTCTTATGCTTATATCTAATAAGTTTTTATATTTTTATTTTAAATTAAACAAGACTTTATAATTTATGTCCAGAGGCCACAAATAACATTAAGCTAAGGCATTTAAGACAAGTTTGATGAACTTTTATAATTAATAACTGGAAGTAGAGTAAGGTTGGGGTTTGAGCTGTTTTGGCCTTCATGTTTGAAGTTGGTGCCAACAAGTGAGTAGCATGCGGATGATGTCTCTCGTCTGGCTAAATGTTGTAAAGGAATTCCAAACTTTGTGTTGGAGTTTTTATTTATTTATTTATTTTCTTGTATGGGGTTCTTAATATTATAGGAGTGTTTCATCTATTAAACAAGAGACTTGAGATGACATTACCATATTAAAGTTGAATCAAAATATTTTTCAAAAAAAAAAATTATGTAGTAAAAGAACGAATTTTATGATAAAAATTAAAAATAATTTATTATTTTTATATTTATATAAAAGTAAAAATATCATGTGAACATATTATCATTATATAAACATATTACGTTATCATCTATCATAATACATTAATATATAAAATTAATATAATATGTGATATAAAATGATAAGCAGCATTTTCATTACTCATAATTAATTGACTTATAAAAACTTGTTTCATAAAATAAAATATAAAAAAAATTAAATTTTTATAAATAATAAAAAGCTTTTTTTAGATATTCCATCAAATACTTAATTCTAAACCAACTCAATTACAAGATTTTACAAATTATCCCTTGTATCTCCAGCTTGGTCTTGGCGGTTTAGAAACCAAGACAAGAAACAGGTGGTAAGAAATAAAGCCATGAGCAGGGAGTGGTTAGTTAAAGAATAGAGTCCGTTCCAGACCCAAAACCTTAATATCTCTGTATCTATCTCAAAGTGGATATGGTTTTTACATGGAGTTTGACTTGTCTTTCGGGAGCTCAATCTCAAAGGGTACTTGCTTGGAATAGTGTGCAACAACACTACTTTGCCCCTTCATTACCTCCTTATCCTTTCAAGCCATGTTGCTCTTCCTCTTCTCGTAACCATAATCATACTTTTTCTCTCATTCAAGACTCTGCTGTCATTGGTTGCCTTCGTGCCAATAGGCAACTTCTCTTCACTCTTTTACTATCTTTGTATTTAGCATGTTTGTAACTGGGTTTGCTTTTATTTTCATATTTGGGATGATTGGTTTTTTTTTCTTTCTTTTTTTTTTTTAATTTTCTTTGGGTTCTGTGACTGAGAACTCATTTTTCCCATTTCTGTATATAGTGCTGAGCAGGCAATGGAAGCTGCTCGAGCTGCAGTTAATGGTGGCATTGAAGTTGTAAGTCTTTGAATTTGTAATAAGAACTCCTTCAGTTTAAAGGCAATCATACTGTATTACTGTTCCTTTCTTTCCAGTTTGTGGGCATTTTTTTTTTCTTCTTTCATCTTTTTATTATTTATGAAAGATATTAATTTAGTTTTACATCCATAATTTGGTATATCGTCCTGTTTCCATTTCGCATTCAGAATATTCTTTTTTATCCAAAAATTTTTAATTAACTATAATCCTAAGGCTGCTCTGGTGCATTGAAGTGTTTACTGCTTAACTCTTACATAGACTGGATTCACTATAAAACTTATCCTGAAATTGGATCTAGTTACGGCTTTACTATTAATGGACTTATAAATTTTTACTTCTCCTGATTTGCAGCTGGAGATTGTTAGGTCAACCCCAGGAGTGTTTGAGGTTGTACAAAAATCCAACCTTAATTTTCTGCCCAAATTTACCATTTTGGATTGAGAATTTATATGCTCTTTTCCCATGTCTGCACAGGTCTTGCAGGCTCTGGTTAAGGAGTATCCTACTCAGGCCTTTGGTGTAATTATCTTACTAGTTATTCTTAGATTCATGTACCTTTTTCTTTCCTGGAGCAGAAGCATAGGATGCTGCATATAGGTCATGAAAACTCATTTGAAGTTTTGGCCTGAGGAAGCAATGATGTGCTTGCATGTGGCAAAGATCTATCTGTTGACTGGCGTATTCAGTTTTGTCGAAACCTACAATTAATTAGTCCTTATATAAATTATATGAGTATATGCCCTTGATGCCTAATGTGATTAAGAAAGCATAGCCTTTCCCAGAGGTTCATAGCCATAAAGCCGCTGGCTGTTGCTCTTTCAGTTCTATTGAGTACATTAATTAGTAATAGATACAGGCAGAAACTTTTGTAGTTCCTAAATCTGGTTTAGCCACATATGGGCAGACCTATTCTGAAGATAGCGTAGAAGACAAGCTTATTGTCAATCTAGAGCACTTCTCTAGATTAATTTCAAATCACCTTTTGGATTATTTTTGAAGCTGCTAGAAATCTTGCAGGTTGGGACTGTTTTAAATGCTGAGGATGCCAAAACTGCTATGAAGGCCGGAGCCAAGTTTCTTATGAGTCCTGCCACAGTGAAGGTATATGCTGAGAATTCTGAGATTATATCTCTATTTATGTTCATCTTTTAATACTGGGAGAATAATTCTTGAACCTTAGTCTCTCTTTTCTCCGTTTTCTCGAATACTTCTTTGCCATTGTGGCCTTGCTTACATTTTGAAGCTCAGCCTAAGTACACATGTTACTATATGTTTCCAGTGCTCCCTTTTTTGTCTGAACTAAACACTTATATTTCATCAGGATATTATGGATGATGTTCAAGATGCTGATGTTTTATACATGCCTGGTGTAATGACCCCAACAGAAGTAAGAAAATTCTTTTCCAGTTCATTTTGTAGGCTTAGACTTCTTAACCCCATTAACTTATTTAGCTTCTTTCCTTACATTGATAATGGGAAAGTTGAAGTTAAATTCCTTGATTATGTTTTTTTTTTTTTTTGCATACTGTTTAAGATTTAAGAACTTATATGACACATGTAAGCACACACAACAAAAACATGCATCCATCACCAGGACAGGTTTTCGTTTGGGCAGCTGCCTTCACGGGAATCCTTGAACAAATCTGGTAGTATTGCATAACTACGAGAACTTTTAAGAAATTCTCATGTTTGCTCCCTTATGAAATCTATTGCCTCACTTAAAAACTGAGCATATAGGTAATACTATCTGCCATAAGTTTATAGAAAGTTGTTATCTTCTCAATTGAAAATCTAGTAACTTTTAGCTAACAATAACAAATATCATTTCCATGGGAATGCTTTTTTACCTAGGCAACATGTTTCATTGAGATAGAGTAGCAATGATTGAGCTTTTATATATTCAAATCAAACACAAGATATGGACTAAAAATCAACTCATGTGAATGATAAACATATATCAAAATTTTCACCACACGGCAGAAAGCCTAGATGTGGCCCAAGCATGCATAAAGTACATATATATCTTTTAGGGCACTAATGTGTGTTGAACTGTGACTTTTCAGATATTCTCTGCGTATAATTCTGGTGCCAAGATTGTCAAGGTGAGTCTTCTAGTCAATGTTTACTGGCATTTAGGATGTGGAAATTGATTGAAGGAATGATGACCATCTAATGGCAGGTGCCACAGCTGTTGTATACTTAATGAAATTTTACGTAAAAGGCTATCTTTAGTTACCTCTTAAAATCAGTCCATAATATGAAAGCATATGCAGTTACTGCATGATAATACGATTTGAATCTTAACGTGGCTAGTTATGTATGTAGCTCGAATTGGCCTTCATACAAACATACTACTATTACATAGTGTTATAATTCAGTTGAAAGGAGAGAACTTCATTCAAAGGAACAAATTGTGCACAAAAAGGCAGGGTGTTTTTAGAGTGGGATTTTGAGCCAAGACTACCCAAAAACTGTCTACGGGATCAATGATGGGCTAATTTACAGTTGTAATTATCAGTAAGAATAGCATATGGACTTATACAAATAAATACATAAACAATATATGGATATGCCATGTGAATTTCAGAACTGATGAGAGATATGAACCTTTCAATTGTCTCTCTCTGAAGAGAAGTTTTAAGTTAAAGCTTGACAGTTCCCTACTTGTCGATGGAGCTTTTGCACACGGGTTTCCTTAAAAGACAATACTTCCTTGTACACTGAATTGAGCTGTAGATGGAGGTCGATATCTGGCTAACATAAACACTCCTTATGTTATTTTGGAGAGTTTATTTGGATTGTTTGATTTTCTGTTCATATTTCCATGTGTTTGATATTTGTTAAAAGTAAAAATGGTGAAAAAGGAAGATTAATAGATCTAGCCATTGAAGACAATATTTGTTCATATCCATGGTGCGTATCTGTTTTTCCAGAAGTTGCAGTCCTCATATCATTTGCTTTGTGAGTGTTGTACCCACTGGAATTCGCATAGATGATATTTGTTAATAAGAGTAATCTCATACGATAAACATGCCCTACATGAACTGATATTTAGGGATGTGGATCAAGTTCTTACTAGCAGATGGGTTATATACTATGAACCTTTATGTGAGGTTTGTAGGTTCAGTGATGCACACACACACATGCACATATGCATGCATACACATATACTCATTGTAACATGTGAAAGCTTACCTGTATACTGCACAGGGCACTTCTTTGATAAACTCATTTTGGATTGAATCATTTTCACTTTATGTTTCATCTAACAATACTGACGGGTTCTGTGAGTTTAGGTTGATATGTTGTGTATATGAAAAAAAAAAAACAAAGGCTCAAACCTAAACTTGCCTGATGAAGTTTTTCCCCTTTATATGGTTAAACAGATCTACCCTGTTTCGGCATTAGGTGGTACACGATACATATCGGCGATTATGAAGCCTTTTCCTCACATCCCAATGGTTGCTTCCCAGGGCATAACTATAGGTTGGTACTTTTGGCAAGCATGTTTTGTCAGAGTAATTTCATGTAACTTCCCATTGGCAAACATACCCAAAGAAGCTAGCCTTTGAACAAAACAGATAGTGATTTACAGAAACTGACAATGCTCACCATCCTCTTCTTCATACTTGCATTTCTTATAGTAGTGTGAAAACTAAACTTGCTAGATATTGTAATATCTAATTGAGAAATGTCTAGGAATATCATTTAGTTTCGCTTACATATATCTAAATTTGCTGCTTAATGAAGTACTTGACATTTTTGTATAACTTGATACAGATTCAGTAGGAGACTACATTGCTCAGGGAGCAATATCAGTTGTTTTATCGGATGCTATATTTGATAAAGAGGCAATGGGACAAAATAACTTCAATGCCATACATCAACTTGCCAAATCTGCTGCTTTGCAGGGCAAAAACGCAGTGGAACGGTGAGCTTTTTATGGTGTCTGTTCCATGGTAGTTTTAACATTTTCATCTATAACCTGTGAAACTGCTTTGTGGTCTGTCGAGATTCCAAAATCAAATATGTTTTGCAGTTATGATTATCTTGATTCATATTTCTCTACTCACAAAGATTCAGATAGCTACTTTCCTAGTTCCAGATATGCTGTTTCAGAAATTACAAATCTATATGCTAGCAAGTCTACCTTTCCCCATCATTTTTCCTTTTCAATTATCTTTTGAACAGGCAACTTTATAGTCTTCGATGCAAGTTTATTGTTATCTTATGGTACTGGTTCAGATCAGATGCTCGGCTAAATGCATGGTCTTTAGTTTAGCATTAATTTTAGATGAAGTGGAGATTCAGCATCTATAGACTAAGGGCAAATATAGTGAAATATCTGAATTCAGACAAGAAAGCTATGAAATCGCATGAAGGTTTTATAAGCAGACACATTTAGAAAAGAGAAGGCGGTCGACACTACACTTGTAGGTTGAAATTGCTGGAATTTCTTGTTCATACTCAGCTCTAAACAGATGAATACTCAACCCGGATAACAAACATAAAGATGTAACTTATCGAAAGTCTTATTCAACCTAGGAGTTATACTTAAGACATTGGCAGACAGTAAGCCTGGTCTGTTAGCTGGAGCTTTATTGTTATTACTGTACAGACATGACATATTGCTAAAACTAAAACTACATTGACAGATTTTATACACAATTCAAAAATATATAGAAAGTTGTGTTCCTGGACGAGACAGTTCTATTGTAGCATTTGTTGTCTGTGCTTGACTGACCTGGACTTTGCAGGAAGAGGAATTGCAGGCTGACTTATTTGCCTCACTCATAAGTGACAGCTTTCATCTATATCATCTATACCAGACTACTGCTGCACTAGCACCACCAACTATATACCTTTGATATGTTTAAGCAAGGAATATCTTCTGACCACAGAAACAGGTAAAACTATGTCATGTAGTCCATAGGCAGTATGTTTTCTTTCTGCACCATTTCTCCCCTTTGCTGAATTATTCATTGATTTTTTTTGCATCAGCATTATATTTCATGCTTTGATTGTCATCACCATTGTTATCATCACAATTAATCCCAAACTCACTTACCCTTTCTTTGTATCTGGTTTCTTCTCATCAAAACCAAGGTTGACTACTTCATGATATACTAGTCTGTTACCTGCAAGGCTGTGAACTCATTTTGAGTAGTCAAAGCTCAAGAGCATGATAATAAGGAACAAATATGCGATGATGCATGGGGTACCTGCTTTCACTCTCAGCTAAACATATATGGAGGAATTTACCAACAATGCAACTCATGTTACCCAATTTATGTACAGTTGGCTGAGTTGTAACATCTTCAACCTTCTTCTTCATAAAGGAAAGGCAATTACAGTCAGAAAAATTCAATATACTTTGCTTTAATTACTGTTAGATAGTTCTTTGTACTTCTTTTCCATCCATCAAAACTACAAGGAAAGAAGGAGCCTTTGTTCTTTTGAAAATGAAAAACAGATCAGCTCACTAAAATGGAAAGAACTACTATATTTTTAATTATACCAGTCAAGAAACAAGATTGAAAAGGTAAGTACAAATAGAAAAAGCAAAAGAAAGGTCCTGCTGCTGCTATTCCGTTGGATAGCTTGAGAAAGCTCTTTGTTACCGAGTTCTACATTTTTTGTGGCTTCAACTGCCTGCACATAAGACATAAAAATGACTGCATCAATAAAGAGATTGCATAAGAGGAGGAAAACTTTGGAAATTCAATGCTTAGAGCTGAAAAGAATGTGAAATACAATCTCATGCCTTAATTAATGCCTGATTCAGCTGCTATAATGAACCATCAGACCCTAGAAGCTCCTCTATTTGAAGCAACTAGGGATGTGTGCAAATTAAATCTATATATTTAAGAAGACAAAAGGTATAGGCCAATAAAAAAAAAGAAACTTCTTCATTTTGGACAAGAGTGTATCCACTGCCTTATTTTGCGATGAAAATAACATTACAAACTAGAATTACCACCCTAAATAGAAAATTCAACTTACATGATCAACTTATTAAAATCAGTTGCATAAACAGATTTGATGGTATAAATTATATAAGTTTGAATGAATTAATAAAAAGAAAATGGAAAATAGGAGGTTAATGATGGTGCAGAAACATTAGCTAAATATATAGGGAGAGCGAAAAGCAAGTGACCGTGAAGGAAAATGTTTTTTGCACCTGGTCATAGAGATGTTCTATCTGTTGAGCTTGTTGCAGAACATGCGTGGACATGAGGTGATTCAGTGCAGACATCTCCACCATCTTAGTTTCCGTTTCTTGAACAGCATCTAGAAGACTAGTCAACTCAACCTACATAATAAGCGGAGAAGCGAACATCTTCAATTTATTACAATTTCAAAAAATGAATTAGATCATTCAACGAAAGGGCATAATAGAAAGAACCATATGGAATCTATCATGAAAAATATTCTGATTACCTGAAGGGCACGGGTTTCATTGTCCAGCAATTCCTGTTGGACTCTAAGAGATTCAGGTTGAAGCTCATTGGTCTCTCTGAGGTCCAAATTGACTGGTTTAGAGGTATCCAGAGAATTCGAATCAACAACCCTCTTAAGTTTTCTTCTTGGTGTTGCTCTATTGATAGCATCTTGGAAGCGGATAGCTCTCAGCTGATCAAACTGTGCTGTCACTGAATGAAGTTTCTCACTTAAAATTAGAACCTGAATGTTAAGAAAGCAGCACAAGTGTTAATTCATCAAGCTAACAACAACATTAAGCCTTTTCTTAGAGAGAGGGAGAAATCACTACCATGCAGGAATAAAAAGTTATTTAGTGAAGAAATATAAAGGACATAAAGTATTACTACAGGAGAAGCTGAAGTTACCATGTAAAGAAATTAAAAGAAAAAGAAAAAAGATAGAGACTCTTGAATCTTGCTAGGGCCATTTAGCTCAGAAAACTGACAACAAATTTACTCTTGTTACTACATTGACGATGACAGAATAAAGGTATTATCAGAAAGGAGGACAATTAGAACTATTTACCACTGAAAGCCAGCAAGATCCAAGGGTGAATCAATCAAAACAGGATAGACAATTCGAGCAGATAAACAAAGTCATATGATGACACATTTCAATAAGCGTAAACAGGAATTTAACCTTACCACTCCATGTTTGTGTGCTATGGTATCAGCATTTGAGGTATCCCTGATGCCAAGCCAGCCCTTTGAGGTTGCCTCTTCATCGTTTATGCTATTTTTGAGAACATCAATTTGATCCTTGCAAGCTTTAATAAAAGCAGTAACCTGTAGAAGTTTAACTTAGTAACATAGGATGTAAACAAACTAAATCCTCACAAGCAAGCACCTTCATTTAATTGAAAAATAAATGCTTTCTTTGATAACCAAAAGCAACCAAGAAATGAAAGCAATCAAACACTTCCCATTGGTAGTTAACTGCTAAAATTCTAAAATCTAATCACTCCATTTGGCTTGGCAAGCACAAAACCATAATGCTCATATCACTAATCATCAAAGTTCACACCTATTCATTCAGTACAATTCAATTACACACCGAAAACACAAAACCAGCCGCAAATTCTTAACCCTTTAAGCACATATCCAAAGAAACAACTTTCACCAAATCAACTGCATCACTATCATTGAAAAACTTTGAGTCTGCTTAACATTATAGTTATGGTCCGGTGAAAGCCACAAATTTACAATCCAACCACAATATCAAATTTAGCCTATTTAACAAAACAGATCAAATGCGCATTTATTTATCTTCGGACACTTGATTCGATCAGAAAAAACACTAAAAGAAAAAGAATTCCACAAATTCATTAATCAAACTAAAGAATAGTTGACAATATTCTCTAGTATAACGTCTGAAGTTAAAAACATAAAACATTACTTCTTGTTCAATGCTGTCCTTCTCTTGCTCCGTCGTCCGGTGAAGATCCACATAATCTTTCCGGTGCTTCGACATGAACTGATCTAAAGCTCCAATACTCTCTAGCTAATTACAAAAAAGAAATCAAACATAGAAATTAACTCGAAATTTCTCTTTTCCGAAACAGTAACAAAATTTTGAAAGATTTTGCAATTACCGTCTTGAGTGCAGATTTAGTGAACGGAGTCGTTTGCCATGGTTTATGGATTATGAAAGATGCCATAATGGCTGCCAATTTAGACTATCAAAGCAACATAAAGAAGAATCCAACAAAATTTAGAGTTCAAGAATAATTATAAGATCGAAAGTTTTAAAAATTAGAACCAAAAAAAAAGAAGAAAAAGGAAAATTTACCTTGTTGTAACCTGATGAAATTGCTGTGTGCCGTACAGCGTCTTTGAAATCTTCAGTTCGATCTCTGAATCTCGACATGTTTGTAATTTTCAACTGCTTCTCCAATTTCGTTGGGTTTTTCAATGTACAGCTCAAGATTTGAAGCAAGGGGCGAAGAACAGAAACGAAAATCTAGAGACAAAAAAAAAAGAAAAAGCGAAAAATGTGGGAGAAAGACTGAAAAGAAAATAATAAGAGAAAAGAAGAAGGTATTTATGTCAAATTATAAATTAATTAAAATGCTAAATTATTTGTTTGATATAATAAACTTTTGACCGTTAAATGCATATTAAAAAATAATTTTTGATTGATGTAATTAAGATATCGTATTCGCTTGAAATTTTATATACATAATAGTTACCTGAATCTATATAATCACTTGATAACATTTTGGAATTTGAACTCGTATTCAAATACACAAACATTTTTTGTTAATTATTTGAATTTGTTTAAATACTCGATCTTGCAAGTCAAATTTTAAACCCATAATAATTAAAAAAATCCTAAACCATTTAAAAAAAATTCAAAGCATAATATCTAAAAAAAATTATAAATTATGTCCGAGCATTTGACTTATTAGTTTGTACATTATTCCTTTCTTCAATTAAAAAAAATTCAAATGAATCTTTATACTTTTATTGCGTTCAACTAAGTCCTTATATTTTTGTTTTGGACCAAATAAGCTTTTGTACTTTTATTTTGAGTCAAATAAATTTTTATAACTAATATTAATTTAATCAAAATGTTATATATCAATTTGTATCGCATAATGCTAGTATAACATGTTAAAAAATCATAATTGATGATGACGTGACATATTAATTTAACATAATAATATAATTATATAATATATTTTACTTTCACATCAATATCATGTTAGTGTCATATGAATATAAAATTATAAAAGGTAAAATATCCTTAACCCCTAACTTTTAGCTATAATTCCACATAAATCCATTAGTTACAAAAATAGACAATTCACTTTAAAAGAATATTTTTGTTAGACACATAAGTCTAGTTATTAGTCAACCATTAATTTTTTGGTTAGTTTAATTACTTGTCAATAATGAAAAGATAATTTTACCCTTCATTACTTTTAAAAATTACCACTATATAAACTATAACTTTTCATTTTTAATTTTTTTCCTATTCAAAAAGAAATCTCTCCCCTACCTTTATTTCTGATCGAAACGCTAGGTTCGACTTTAGCTGTATCTCCCTCCCTTTGTGCTTCGCATCCTCCCCACACCACTGGTGCTCCCTAAGAAAGCATAGATCTTAGGGGGGTGGGTAGCTCCTTTAAGAAGCAGGAGGGGTGGCCAATCGATATAAAGGAACAACGTCAATTGGCTTAAAAGAAAAAAAAAGTGAGAAAGACAAAGGATATTTTTTACATTTCACACTTACCCTAATGTCGTTTACATGTTTGGGACAAACTGTTTATTTTAAAAACTACTAAACTCGAGTGAAAGTATAGTTAAAAGTTAAAGGGTGAGTGTGTTTTATCCAATGATAAATGGTATTAAGACTATTAGCAATTAGTCAATCATTAGTCATTGAAGCTTATTTGACCCAAATTGAATGCAATAAAGAATGAGAGCCTATTTGAATTTTTTTTAAATAGTTTAGGGGCTTGTTTGAGCATTATGCCAAAATTCAAATACCAATTTATTCTTTTATTGTGTTCAAATAAGTTTTAATACTTTTATTTTGAACTAAATAAGGTAACATTTGGTATTTTACTTGGGATGTAATTGTTGGAAAGATAACATTATATTTGGTATATATGAAAGTGATGATTGTAGGGAATTGATTATTGGAAAGATTACATTAAAATGTTTGGTTTAGAAACACTATACTAGGAATGTAGTGTGAATTGATAAAATTACCCTTATATGATAAAAATATAAAGATGAATAAGCTTTCATTTTTTAATATAAATATTTAACTTTTCAAACTTTATCCTTTAAAATAAATAATAACATGAAAAAAGTAACATAATATCTTGCTACTAATTATTTAAAATATGTAAAATTACTATATAATTATTTTTATAATAGTATCTATAAATATTGATATACCCTTTTAGGAGTTGAAAAAATTATTGATGAAGAACTACATTAGGTTTTCTTTATATTTTCCCTTCAAAACAGCTTTTACTTCAATTCTCAAGGGAAGGAAACAAAACTCAAGTGGTAATAAAGATGAACCTCATTTATATTAGAAAAAAAAAACCAAACAAGCAATGGCTACGAATCTATAATCAAGTTTATCAAAGCCCATCAGATCTTCAGTATTCATGGAAACCCCATCGTCAAAGTAAGTTGTTGATTTCATTTTAGCCGTGCAATTTATATTACTACTAGCAAATACGTTTCTTCAGAACAAATTTAATTCGCGAAAATATATGAGTTTCTTACGATTAGCAAGAAAAAGAGAAAAAGAAGAAGAAGAAGAAGAATAGGGTTGGGTTAATGGGATGGACTATTTGGGAAAAATATGTAATTTTCTTTTCACAAAGGGCAAGTTACTTTCCCTTTGTGAAGAAAGGGAATGTCATTCTCTTCTCTCATTGTAATCATATTACAATGGGATCATTTTTCTATTTATTTTACACAAACCAAACATTGTAATGTGATTACACCTAATTAAATCGTAAAGAATGTTCCCCACTCACACAATACCAAATGCCCTCTAAAGGTTAACAAATTATTGTTAATCAAAATACCATTTGTTATTGTATGCCATGTGACGCTGACATGGTAAGTTGATATGCCATAATAGATGATGATGTGACATTTATGTGATATGATGACAGAACAATGTGACATTTTCATCTTCCATGTCAACGTTATGTGGTATAAAAATGATAAGTGATATTTTAACTAACAACAGTAAGTCAATCATTAGTCATAAAGGTTTATTTGACCTAAAATTAATATACAGGGACTTAATTGAACGTAATAAAAGATAATGGCTTATTTGAATTTTTTACATAGTTCAAGGGTTTTTCAAGTATTATGTTAATTTTAAATTTATATGTTCACTGATACTTAATTAATTCACAATCAAAATTAAAAATTGAAAATTAAATAGAAATTTAAAAAGTAATATATTCTTAAATAAAAGGGAAATAAAGACACTATAATTATGAATGCAAACTCAACAATCACAAAGCATTATCCTTAGATTGTAATATCAAAAAATTCTTAAATTATGAAATTTATAACCCTAGTAGTCTCCCATTAGTCGAAATCCTGACATTTGTGACGTTCATAGTTTGTATAATCTACTTAATTAGTCAAATTACAAGGAAAAAAAGGTAACAACAATTTAGAATTACAAATGGTGATAATGATTGCCATACTGTGTAAGTTCGAGAACTCGACCACTCAATGTGAAATGCAAGTCACCGCTAGTCTTTTATTCAGGTGTAGTTGGGCACATATTTGAATCTATTTTTCTATTGGGATTTTAAATCTGATTTAAGTTCATTTGAAAAATAAGTTCTAGTTAACGAAACATTTTTAGGGTTGAGGAGTAGGGTTACATATAGGAAAAGGTAATATAACCCTTCATTCAAAGAACTATACTAGTTAACTATGTGTTATGCTATTTTGCCTTAATTAATAGTTTTTGATTTCTAATTTGCTTTTATTTCCTTTAATTATTTTTTTCTTTTCATTTTGTTTATGTATTATTTAAATATTAGAAAATTTTCTAAAGCCTTCTCAACACTCTAGTGGGATTTAAAAAAATTTTCTCACTTCAAGAGTGTTCAAGAAAACACATTTATTAATTTTCTTGAAAATGCTCTATTGTTGAACTTATTTATCATTTTACAAGAATGAGTCCTAATTTAAAATATTATTTTTTTAACTTTTATCATTTTAATTATTTTAATTTTTTATTATAATATTTTATACTAATTATCAATTTTAATAGATAAATGAAATTATATTAAAAATTTTTCTACATTTGCCTAACAAGGCGGAACCTAGGAATTTTCTTTTACCCAAAGATTCTCTCTAGAAATATGTCTCTACAATTCTCAAGAAAATCCCATCATCAGAAATTTTCAGTCATGAGTTGGATTAGCATTAATGATGATTAAAGAATATTTCCCTTAGAGGTTTGATCATGCCATGCCCAAGCATTGTAATTATCCATATATAAATGGAAGAAGATATAAGCAAAAGACATACATTAGCCATAGGAGCACAATTACTAAACCTTTCGATAGACACATCCAAATGAAGTAGCATCCACATAAGTTAAATTTAATATCGACCAACTAATTCTACCATCTTAGATTGATACAAGTCTAGCTTCCTATATAGAGATCTTAGATACAATGAATCATGAGGAAAACTTGTTCTTTTAGCAATCTTTATTGTGAAAAGGATGACTATTTATCGAATAAATCTCGTTATCTAAACACCCCAGAAATACATGCCAAGCCAACCATATGATTAACAAAGCCATTAGCTTATGCTCATGATTTGGGTACTTAAGAGGATCGTTTATTATTGAACTACTATGAAATCCCACCCCAATGTAAGATGTTAAGTTAAAAAATCTTTAGGCTAGCATGTATGTTTCATGTTGTGAGCTTTTAAACTGAGTTTTAAACTTGGGAAAGTTTGTATTTTGAGACATTAAGATGATTTGCAAAGTTTGGTGGAAAAGGGTGTCCAAATGGATAGGCTTTAAAAGTAGTTTTTGCTTATTAGAGTCTATCAATTGATAGATGTCCTTCATTTATTGGATACAACCCTAAAAGGTTTTGAAAGAAATTGATGAACATTTATTGAAACATGTTCATCATTTATCAATATATTGACCTATTTATTGATGGATGAGACAAATTTATCAATAAATAGCAACTCGAGGGCTTTTAAAATAAACTTGAAAGCCATTTATCGATATATGACCGTTCTATCGATAGATGATGCTACTTTTTTTATAAAAAAAAAGGTGTACAAAGGCATTTTCATGCCCCAAACTATAAATACCTCACATTCTAATAGGGTTATTAGCTCTTTACCAATTTTGGAAGGTATTCTGTCAACTTTGAGACTCTTTCAACCTATTTTCAACTCAAATCACCATTTTTGAAAGATTTAAACTAGGTTTTGAGTTTTAAAAGCAAAGGTGATATTTTTCACTCTTGAAATCTTGATATCTTGGATTTTTAAC